TAGAGTGAAGACTTTCAGTTTTTGACCATTTAATACGATATTAGCTGTTTGTTTGTCATAGATGGCTTTTATCAGATTGAGGTTAAGACCATCTATTCCAATTTTCTGTAGGGTCCTTATCATGAATAAGTGTTGGACTTTGTCAAAAGCTTTTTCTGCATCTATTGAGATGATCATATAGTTTTTGTCTTTGGTTTTGTTAATTTGGTGTATTACATTTATTGAATTTTGTATGTTGAACCCTCTCTGCATCCCTGGTGTGAATCCTTCTTGGTCATGATGTATAATCTTCTTGAAGATTTGCTGCAATCTGTTTGCCATTATCTTATTGAGGATTTTTTATAAGCCACTTTGAAATAATGGTTTTCAAGTTACTTAAACTTACCAATTCTACAGAGCTGGTAAGAATGCTTGGAAACAAATAAGAAGCACATTACAATCATCACAAATCTACCAAAACTGTCCTTTCAGACAGAAGAGGATTCTATTCCTTTAGCTTTTTATGCATGCAAAGAGTTTTTTTTCCTCACAGAAAATACTTAAGAGTGTTTTCCCTTCCAAATAAGCTTAGGATTCTTAGAAGCGCTACTGGATTTTATCTCTTGAATATGAAGAGCCTCGATGTCTACTCTAATAGATCTGGATGGTTTTGAGCTAGAAAATAAAGAGTATTTCAGGGTTAGAGATTGAAACTCAGCGCCAAACCCTTGGGGCATTTCAAGAAGAGATAGGCCTTCATTCCATTGTGCCACCCAAGGTCACCCAATAATAATTGGTGTTTTTAGAGAGCTGATACCAGACTAGACAGAATCCTGGGTAATGGAGCTCTTAGCTTGGTACTTCTACCAGAGAAGGAAGATTCCATCATGTGACTTTTTCCTCTTGGCTTCAGTTGGTTGTTTTGTTGGTCTTCTGAGTGAGACAGATAGAGTTACACCCTCAACTAGTAACGAAGGTGGAACATTGTATTCCCCCTTATTCCCAACTCACTGAACAATAAGCCTTTGATCTAAAAGGCTTGGAGAGGGGCTGGGGATTTAGCTCAGTGGCAAATCGCCTGCCTGGCAAGCACAAGGTCGTGAGTTTGGTTCCCGGTACTGGAGAAAAAAAACCAAAAAAAAAAAAAAAAAAAAAAAAAAAAAAAAAAAAAAAACATGTAAAAGGCTTGGAGACCATCAGAACTAGTGTGAAATCTTGGTATTCTTGGAAGAGTATCTTACTTTTATGCAGACTTTGAAGGACAGAATAAGGGCTTCCTGGAACAGCTCAGCAGCACTGAGGACTGGCGAATATAAATATTTTGTTAAGAATCTAGAAATGGTTGGCAGAACTGTTCACAAATATAGTGGTTTACCTGGGAAGCAAATAAGCTCCTTCTCACTGGTGGTACTAAGTAGAGGCTGAGGAGGCATGTGTGTAGTAAGAAGTCATGCGCAAGGCAATGGCTGGACAAAGGGTTCCAAGACTGTCTTCCAGTTTCTCTATTGGATTGTCTATAGACCCTCGATTTACTCCTTACGTATGCTGTGTTTGCATTGAACACCTTGTTCTGCAATGATACATCCAAATATTTGTCTCCCTCACAACTCTGAAGACTCCTTGAAACAAGGGACAATATTTATCCTTTTCTGCTTCAAGTGTTTTTAGAATAGTAATTAGAACATAGGAGACACTAAGTTAATATTTATGTCTTGATTTATAGCTTGTTATCTGCAAGAAAAATTGCTTGCTGTGATCATGTTCATGATCCTTAGAATCAGTGGTTGTTTAAATACCTGATGATGCACTATGCCACATGATTGTTTAAGCATAGCACTTCCAGTTAATCATTCTTTCTCTACAGATGGAGCCATAAGGTGGCAGTAAAAGAAAGCCAAAGTATGGCTAGGGTTTTTATGAATTTGTAGTCCTTGGTCAAGTCCCCTGTGCCACAATGGCCCTGGAAGTGATGCCTAGAGCTCTAGGTGTGATTTGACTGGATTGGGCAGGCAGGTATCTCCTATCTTCTGTGGGTAACTAGGAGAGTAGTTTCTTTCCAGGCTTAGGGAGGAAGGAAGATGCATAAGAGGCAGGGACTTTAGAGGCATGCTGGGCACAGGTCAGGTATGCAAGCTGAAGTGTGAGATTGTGGGTGAAGGAATCTCAGTGGATTAGACTGGATGAGAAGGTAAGACTGGAACTAGAAAGCAGAGGAAGGTAGGTGTGGTTTGAAGGTGGAGAACATGCCAAAGATGCAGAGAAGCACTGGGGGAAGTTGCAAGTAGATTACTTTTCAAAGAGGTGCAGTAAACTGAGACAGTATATTGAATGTTTACTTGTGACAGCTGCTTTGCAAATACTATGAATACCAATACAAATAAGGTAAATCTGCTTTCAAGTGGATAAACTATAAACTAGACTCTACAGATGTTAGTAGCAGACAATTACAACACTGTGTGATCAGTGTATAACAAGGTAAGCACGGGTAACCTGTGTGAACCCCTTCGGAACATATCATCAAATGTAAGGGAGTTGTGAAGGGTAAATTGCAGTTGTCAAAGTGAAGAGGGTGAGCAAGAGCAACAAATTGCTAGAGCTCTGGGGACAGCAGAATATTCAAATGACCAAAGAGGGAGCTTATTCAGGGATTGCAAATAGCACATCGTAGTTCAGCCCTGTATGCCATGACAGGTAATCCAGAATTCCTCCTGGGAACAATGACTCATTGGAGGATTTTAATCAGTTTTGTGCTTCAAAAATATTACTACAACCAAAGTATAGAGAGACAGATAGAGAAAAGGAAGATCAGGGACACACAAAGCTATGGAAATATCTCAGTGAGTGATGGTGGTGGCTCAGTGAGGTCCAGGGCAATAAAAACAAAGTAAGTTGGATTCTTGAGACATTTGCAAGTTGGAATAAACAAAGCCTGGTGGTTGATGAGATGCAAGATGTAGTCAGTCAATCCAGAATGGCTGGTTTCTGGCTTGGGAAACTGGGTGGTTGGCTCATTAGGTACAATGGCAGGAGAGTAGGGTGTTAGAATTTTGGGAGAGTTCTGACCATGAGAAGCCAGAGCCCTAAACCTACAGACATCCAAAGAATGGTCTGCTGTCCTGTCTCACACCGCTTTCTCAGAGTACGTATGTCTCCTTTGGAAGCTGAATGAACTCTAATAACTGACTAAGGTCCTCATCCACTGGCTATTATTCTTTATTTGTCTATCCAATAAATGAAATCTATTAAATACCATTTATGTATTCATAGTATCTCAGTATTCTACAGACCCCAGTGTCCATCTAACAAGTGACTTAGTTTTTTTGAAAGAGTAGTTCTCAAAGTCAGAGTTATAACTCTATATTTTTAATAGTCTTTCATACTCAACCCACCCCAACTTGGTTAAATTGCTGTTTGAGCTGTCATGGGCTGCTTTGGAGGAAAATATTTCCTCCCTTCCAGTTCCAATGATTGCAATATTTTTTTATTGTATTACTATGGCTTCTTTAAATTGTATATCTTCTACATGGACTTCATCTTTGATAGAATTTTTACTTGGATAGAAGTTAAATACTGCAGTTAAATCCCTGAATTTAGTTGTTGTTATGGTCAAAGATCTAGAGACTTGTTTTCTAAGTTCCAGAGTTTCATGATCAGTTCTGGGACTTCCTGTGACCTGAGGGGTGGTATTAGAATTTTAGTAATAGACATGATTGATCAAAGTCTTCCTCCCAGGTTTTGTTTGTTTGTTTGTTTGTTTTTTGGTACCTGGAGTTGAACTCCAGACCTTGTGCTTGCTAGGCAGATGTTGTGCTGCTGAGGTATATCCCCAGCCCCCCAGTCCTTGTATCTGGTACAATTTTATTTCTTATTTGATGTTTGTCTTTTCCAAGCTGAGGCATAAAACTTGAGCAATGGAGAAATCAGCAGGTTTGCAGATTGAAGTTAACAAAACACTCAACATACTATCACACTTTTCTAGGGAGACTAGAAAGCAAAAGACAATCTGCTATGTCTTCAGTCCAGCAGGCAACTTTGAATGACATTCTAGACACCTAATCAACCCAGCTGGTGTGATTACAGCAAGTGATAATCAGAGTCCACCCTAATTAAGCTGGCAGGATTTTTGCCTTAGTGGAAGTCCCACTCGCTACATTCACAGGTGTGTGACTCAGTCATGTTCAATTATTCAACCACTTTCATTCGAGGATGAAAACTTCATTACATGCTGTGTGTTATGAAAATCTGTTTGTAATTTGGATAAAATTTGGGCCAGGAGTTGTAATCAACCCAAATTCAGTTTATATGTAGAGATTCTCCAGGATGATCTCAGAGGCAACCAAGGGAATGGATGACCTTCTCATGAAAGTCACAAGTAGGGATGATATGCCTCTTTCTGTGATGATAAGAGGAAGTAGAAAGTTGGTCTCCATGATTTCTCTTGCCCCTGAGGTTTTCCTTGAAAATGTTATTTATTGCATACTTTTTCAGATTATGAAAGTAGTTTATGTTCACTGTGGAAAATGCAGAAAATTACAAAAAAAATAAGTAATCATAACTCCAACACAATAATAGCTACTTTTAATTTTTTAGTTGAAAATTTTGAAGTCTGCCCTTTAGGCATATATAAGATTATAAACCTCTTCTCTCTCTCTCTCTCTCTCTCTCTCTCTCTCTCTCTCTCTCTCTCTCTCGCTCAACTTTTTTTCATATATGAAATTGAAGTCCCCCTGTATCCTTCCCTGAAATTTTAGAAGTTTATAAAACATGCAAAACTAAATAGAAAGTTTCTTGACCAAAGGCCAACGCATGATAATTGCTCCATAAACATTTGTTAACCAAATGAATGGAGAAACTTGATTTGTGGTACTGAGGAACCCCAACCAAATCTTGCCAATAAGCTCTGCATGCCAAAGGAACATAATGAACTGGAAACTAGAGATTTTCCTTTAAGAAAGCTCCCAGACCTCAAGAGAGCATCAGCAGGAATTCATATCCTTTTTTGTACTCATTGTGTATTTCAGGAGATTCTGTTTGATCTGAAAGCTGCACACTAGGGACTTGCTGGAAGCATGGACCTCAGTGACAAGTGGGTTTTGGAGGCACAAAGCTGGTTGTCCCATGCTGGAATTCACCATTTTCTCAACACCAGATGGGGTATGGCCACTTTTGATGTCCTTAACGCACATAATACTTTTCAATTCCCGCATATCACTTATTAGCTTAGTTGTCATCAATATGTGTCCATGACTGTTGCTATTTTGAAGGCATCCAGGTAGAGAGGAGAAGACATGGCTCTTAATGTAAGAGCTGGATTCAAATCCAGAATTTGATCCTTATGTGCTATGTGGTCTTTGAAAAACCCATGGTTCCTTAGACTCTAATATGAATGTAAGACTGCCTGCTTCATAGGATTCTGGTAAGGATCACTAGCAATATAGGATGTCATTTCCTAAGCCCTGGTCCTCACCAGGTGGGAAGTTAGTTAATATCTTTAAACACCCATCATGAATCAGGCATTGTGTTCCTATTTTGTTTGTGTCCTTTCACCAATCTTCAAGCACTCAAGAGGGGGGAAAAGCAACAGCCAGAGAGTAGGTCAGCCCCCTATCTTTTTTCTTTGTCTAATTATCTGATTAATATAACAGCCTTAAATGATGGGGATGTCATTACTTTCCTGGAGCAGAGCATACATATATAAGAACCAGAGCCTTGATTCGGAGCTGTGGTCCTCTGTTGAGTCTAAGAGACCACCCCACCTTCATTGCCAAAAACTGATGGAGAGCTACTTTGGTGGTAGGAGCTATCTGTGGATTGGGGGGAGGGAGGATCCAAGGTCACTGAAGTCAATGCCCTTACATGATGCTTTTGTACAAATTTGTCTGATATTTGCTGTTTATTAAGGTATTTCAGATTATTACTGAACATTTATATTCCAAGCACTGGGAATCCAAGAGAGAGGAAGACAGGCATAGAAATAACTGAACTGCACTCTCTGATGTCTCCTCCATCTCTAAAATGGGTAACAACATCAAACATTTTTAGATCTTCTTCATTGCAGTGGAGTACATTTTCCAACCAAGATTCATACAAACAGTGGGAGATTCTCCTAAAGGATGGACAGATACTCCCAAGGAGGGAATTCAGTGCAGCTCATTTGAAAACTCACAGCTGTTTGCCCCTGTGCCCCCTGACATTGTCACTTTAGCCACTTTTTGGAGGCTTTTAAGCCATTATCTCCTCAACATTCCTGGAGTAAAGGTGAACCTCCTTAGCTCAATATACAGCCCTTCCTGACCATACCTCTGCCTCCCTCCCAAGATTCCTTTTCTGCGGCTTGCCGTTAAGAACATCCCCTTTCCTCTCTGTGCATTGATCTCTGGATCCTTAGGCGCAGCATGCTGCCACATTCCCACGAGTCTCTGTACGGGCTCTTTCCATCTGCTTTCTACTCAGCCAGTTCCTATTCATCTTTGAAGCTTCATTATAAACTCAGCTGTTCTCAGATGGCTTCCTACCACTGCCACCGGCCTCTCCACCCCACCCTGTTCTTACTAAGAGGCCCTCCTCAGTGCTGCCACAGCACCGAGTGTGTACTATTATTATTATTATCATTATGTGTTATTATTATTGGTACTGAGAATTGAACTCAGGACCTCACACTCGCCAGGCAGGCGCTTGTGCCGCTGAGTTATATCCCCAGCCCGGTGTATTATTATCTGCATCAGAAAGGGCCTGTGAGCTTCTTGAGGCAAACTTCTGTGCAATGTTGCATTCCTTTCACTGTAGCATGGCAAACCCTTGATGCATATTTGATGGCTAGCTGGTTGATTGGGAACAATAATGAATGAGTGAGTGAGTAATGGCTAGGATCGTGTCCTCCGCATATCTGTCTTCACAGAAAGCCTTTTTGGGTTTTAGCAGCTCACCTTGCTGCATAACTGCTTCTAAGTCTGCCAGTTCATCTTGCTTTCAGCCTCACCTATAGCACTGCATTCAATGGCCCCAGGCTTACTCACTAAGCTGACAGGCAGAGTAGAGAAAGAAAGTGGGGTTTACCTGTTGGTGCTTTTGTAACCTAGGCAATAGACTCACCTATCCTAGAATTTCAGAACTCAAATAAACTTGTAACGGGGTGGGGCGTGTTACTGTGATCTATCCACACACTACCACATCCTCCTGTGAGTTCACCATATCACATATCTGCAATCTGTGGGCAAGTGTGGCCAATAGGAAGGGGGAGCCAGCCTGGGTTGAAGTCTGCCTATAGGAGAGGAACTGCTCTTGCGCAAGCAGTAGCAGAATTTAGTTCCGGTAGGCAACAGAGTCCATGCAGTCTGGCTCAGTGTTGCAGTGCGACAAGGGGCCAGGGTGGTTGAAGTTTGAAAATCGTGTGGTCAGCTGGTATTAGGGTGGTTCTCAGAGCTCGGCTTGGGATTCAGGAAAGGTACAGGCCTCAAGGGACTGACTAGGTGCCCAAATGGGAATCTGATCAAATCACAGGTTCAGTGAGGAAATGGTCTTCAGAAACAGTGCACTAGCTCATGCTTGTAATCTAAGCACTCTAGGAGGCTGAAGCAAGAAGACTGCAAATTTGAGCCTAGCCTGGGACTTTGTGAAGCACTGTCTCAAAATAGAAATAAAAGATGGACTGGGATGTAGCTCAGTGCAAAGGGTTCAATCCCTAGTGCTGAGTTCAATCCCTAGAGAGAAAGAGAGAGAGAGGCGTTAGTTCCACTGTACCACAGATAAATTTTGGAAATGGACAAAACAAAAAAATTCAAACCACTTATAGGTATAATCTTATTGCCAGAAACTATTCTAAGACTTTTTGTGTAGATGTAGATCATCTCAAGCAAGTCTTACAGTAACTTTATTCTCATTTTTGAAGGAAGAAACTGGGGCTGAAAAGGTTGAAGACCTGAACATGGTTATTTAGCTCACCAGTGATACAGCTGCAGTTTGAGCCTTGATCTGATCTACTCCAGTCACCATACGATTTTGCTCCTCAGTCCACTCTCCAACACTCCCTCCTCTGCTTTCATAATTTAAGGTTCTGGTTGCCCAGATACAAACTTTTATTGCTGTTGATTTGACTGCCACGGTAGAAAAGAGGATAGTTTTGAGCAGGGCCAGAAGTACACAGTGCTCTTGCAGCATATGGGTTATCATCCAAGTCTACAGCAGCCTCAGCTGACACTCTGCAAGGCTCTGGCCCACTTGCTGGTGGGCACCTTTTCTTGACACTATTCCTCACACCTCTGCCGCCATTGGCTGGTGCCAGCTGCTCCACCCGTGAGGACCAGTGTGAATGAGTGGGCTTGCATTTCTAGTGAACTCCCAGGAAACTTCTGAAAGAGTCCAGGCCTCTGGGTTTTGTTGTTGGCTTCACAGGAGCCCTCAGAGAATTGCATTGTTTCCAGGGAGGCTCAGTGATCCTGCTGAGTCACAGGCCTTGAGACAGATCCACGTAACATCTGCCCCTCTCTTATCCTCAGAGCATCTCTGGGCTGCCATTAGGGTAGGGCTGCCTCCAGGAAGCGGGCTGGGGAGAGCCCAGGATGTCTGGGGGTGATAAGGAGTTGATGGAGGAAAGTCCCTGTGCCACTCCTGCTTCGTACACTCCTAAAAATATTCCCACAGACCAGGGCCAGTGAGTTTTCGAATGTACTTTAGAGGTCTGGGGCACATTTTCCCAGTGAAATTGTACATGGTCCCTGACATAAAACACAAGGAGGACCGTGGCCAGTGCCCTGTTTCTCTTGCATGACATGTTGAGCTAGTTCTTCTTTTGATATGCCACTGCCTTGGCATACGTATGGGGATTTGGCACAGGTTTGCAGGAGAGGTGTGCAGTGAATGCATAAAACATTTTTTCTTCCTGTTCTAGATGTGCTCAGTCAGCTGTTTGGAAATCCTGCTGTCATACACCCTTCCCAGGAGACCCAACCTGCCTATGCTCCACGTTAAGGAAGAGGCAGGAAATCTGGGAAGCACTGCTTGGCAGTGTAGGCCAGGCACATCACAGAAACTCAGTGGTACTGTTTCCATTCTGGTCATAAAAACAGGAAGGAGCAGATTTCCCTTCTGGTGCCTCTCGGGGTCAGGGAGAGGTTGAACTTTGGGCAGGCAAGAAGGAAGCAACCTTTCCTGAGAGTAGTCTGTATGCTGAGTGCCATAATGTACATTATTTCATTTTAGTCGAACCTTCACTGGAATCTTGTGAAGTAGATACTCCTGCCTGTCTTTTAGATGAGGAAACTGAGTGTCAGAGGGGCCAGCTAGTGAAGTCGAGCTCATATGACAAACGGCAGCAGAGCTCAGGTTCAGACTCAGGTCCCTGTGCTCCATAGCTGTGTCCTCTCTACTTCCCCATCAGCCTCAAAGTTCATCTCCACCTTCCTTTGATCTTCCATGAGTTTGCCTTGCATGCTTTGTGTAAGAGGAAGATGTAACTGTTACCCATGCCCTCTTGTTGGCACTTGTGGTTTCATAATCCCATCATCTGTTCTACTCTTTCCATTTCACAAACGAGATCATAGTGTAGGCAGGTTTGGGGTCTCATCAAAGATTGGTTGCAAAGCTACCCCTAAATCCCAGGCTTCTGCTGCCCCTGCCAGCCCCTTGCCTACACTAAGTCAGCTTCTTGGGAAAAACACTTTAATGTAGAAGAAGAGGGGTCCTTGTGCAGTCTAAAGACCATATTTGCAGCTCTGAAAGAAGCAATTCTCTCTTGGGCCTCTGTCCAAGATGCTGGGGTGAAAATATAAGATCAGGGTTGTCCCTGTATTTTAAGACAAGCATATCCATCCTATGGATTGTGTCTTTTTTAATGGCTTGTTATAGCTCTCAATTGCAGCAAATGTTTTTATCTTTAATCTGAACAGGATATTTCTGTCTGATTTCACTCAATAAATCAGACAGAGTGTAAGTTGGAAGTTAGGGTTTTCCTCTGCAGGGACACTATTCAGCATGTATCTTTGGACTTAGTCTTTAGCTTGATTCATACCTGTGTACGCCTTCTAGTAGCTTCTTGGCTCAGTCGAAGGGTTTTTCCTCTTACTATGATGTTGACTGAGGATTCTTTAATGTTCATCTTTGTACCACACTTGGTAACCAGAATGGGGGATGGATCAAATTATCTATCTAGTTTTCAA